CTAGCTCTCTATCTCTCTCCCTTTCTCTCTGTTAAAAATCAATAAAATATATATATTTTTTAAATGTGTTCTGGCCCTAACTGGTTTGGCTCAGTGGAAAGAGCATTGGCCTGCAGACTGAAGGGTCCCAGGTTTGATTCCAGTCAGGGGCACATGCCTGGGTTGTGGGCTTGATCCCCAATAGGAGGTGTGTAGGAAAGAGCCAATCAGTGATTCTCATCATTGATGTTTCTCTTACTCCCTCTCCCTTCCACTCTGAAATCAATAAAAATATATTTAAATAAATGTTTTCTGATGTTAAATCACCTTTGAATTCTTGGCATATATGCTACTTGCACATATTTCTTTTAATACACCATCTGATTGGATTAGCTAATATTTTACAAAGGAATTTTACACTTCTAGTTGTTGTAGTAAAGAATTCTTTATTTGAGCCTTAGCTGGTTTTTCTCAGTGGTTAGAGCTTTGTCCTGCAGACTGAAGGGTCCTAGGTTCCATTTTGTTCAAGGGCACAAGGGACTTGATCCCCAGTTGGGGGCCTTGGGACATGCAGGAGGCAGCCAATCAATGATTCTCATCATTGATGTTTCTATTTCTCTCTCCCTCTCCCTCTCTCTCAGAAATCAATAATAAAAATACTTTTTTTTAAAAAAATTCTCTATCTGAAATTACTTAAAATTTTCTTTACGGCCCAGTATTTGCTCAATTTTTTTAAATGTCCCAGTATACTTGAAAAGAATGAGTATTCTGTAAGCAATGAATACAGTGTACTAAATATGTCTATTGCATCACAATACTACAACCTGAAGTTCAAAACATGTTTCCTTGGTGATTTTTGTTTGTCTGCTTGATCTATCAATTGCTAGAGAGGTGCATTCCATCTCCTACTGTAAGTGCAGATCTGTCCATTTGTTCTTGTACTTTCTTTTTTTTTTTTTTTTTTCTAGATGTAATTTATTTCAGGATATTTTTCCTCACATTATATTTTTCTACTTTCCCCCTTTTTATTTAAATATTAGGAGGCTTTTGAAAATCTTTTTTTTTTAAATCAATCTTTATTGTTCATATTATTACAAAGGTTCCTCATTTCTTCCCCCCTCCACCAGGTTCCCACCCCACCCTCTGCCCCCTCCCCATCCCCCATTGTCCTCATCCATAGGCGCAGTTTATGTTCAGTCTCTTCTTCCCTCCCTTTCCCCAATAGTAAATCCCTTTTCAGATAGTAAATCAGTTACTTAGCATTTTCTCATATCAATAATACCTCCACATGCCCAATGATACACTTCACACAAAAGACATTTCCCAATAGGTCCACCAGCCTCATCCAGGCCCCACCCAAGGCACGCACAGATCAACACCCCAGTCCTAAACTAACTCAACACATCCAGATCTAAGCCTTCATCACTTGATTCAGCAGACCCTCAAGTTCCCACGAAAGTTTCCAGCATGTCTGAGAAGCAGCCGTGGGGCAGGGGCAGGCAAGGAGTGAGCTGTTCTGGGCCTGGCTGCTCAGGGCCTGGCCTCTGCTGCTCTGGTTCATTCCACAACCAGCTGCTCCGGGTCTGGTCACTGCCGCTCCCGACCTAGTTGCTCTGGACTTGGCTGCTGCTGCTCCGGGCCTGGCCACTCCCAGCCTGGCAGCAGCTGCTCCCGGCCTGGCCGCACACGACCCGGCTGCTCCGGGCCTGGCCGCTCCCAGCCTGGCAGCCGCTGCTCCGGGCCTGGCCGCACCCGACCCGCCTGCTCCCCCGGGCCTGGCCGCTCCCAGCCTGGCAGCCGCTGCTCCGGGCCTGGCCGCACCCGACCCGGCTGCTCCCCCGGGCCTGGCCGCTCCCAGCCTGGCAGCCGCTGCTCCGGGCCTGGCCGCACCAGCCCCGGCTGCTCCCCCGGGCCTGGCCGCTCCCAGCCTGGCAGCCGCTGCTCCGGGCCTGGCCGCACCCGACCTGGCTGCTCTGGGCCCGGCTGCCCCGGGCCCGGCCGCTCCGAGCCTGGCCACTCCCGACCTGGATGCTCTGGGCTTGGCCACTGCTGTTCTGGGTCTGGCTGCTCCCACCCCGGCTGCTTTGGGCCCGGCTTCTCCGGGCCCGGCCACTCCAGGTCTGGGTGTTCCTGGACTGGCCACCCTGGGCTTGGCCGCCTCCGCCTCATGCCTGGCTGCCACTGCCCCAGGTCTGGCTACTCCAGTGCTGGCTGTTGATGCTCTGGTTCTGGCTGCTGTTGTTCTGGGGCCTGGCCGTTGCTGCTCCGGGCCTGGCTGCCACTGCCTTGTGCCTGGCCACTCTAGGCCTGGCCACCGCTGTTCCAACATTCTGTCCTTTTTTTTTCTTTTTTCTTTTTAAAACGCATTTATGTTGCACTGTTGGCTGGTGAGTTGAGTTCTGACTTAGTCTTTGATTTTTCAAGATCTTCTTTGTATTCTTTCTTAAGTAATTTTACTATTTTTTGCTCTCACTTGATTTCTTCACATTGAGAACTTCTTTGGTTTCTTCCTCCTTGTCCTGGGAGCTCAGCAGGTTGGCCTGTGGCACCCCTTTGTTCTCCGCGGGCTCCTGCGCTACTTCAGCCTGTTGCCGGGATGGCGCCGCCCAGGAAGCAGCGTCCGGCCTTGGCTCCATTGCCCGAGCTCAGTAGTCAAAGGCTCAGGGGCACCCACGCCCCCAGGGGCCCCGTGGCCCGCCTCCTTGCTGGTGCCCGGTTGTCTGGCGTCCGGCAGGGGCTTCCGCTCCCCTCCGCATTCCCCCAGCCTAGAGCTTTTTTTTTCTCCTTCCCGCTAGGGAAGCCCAGCATCAGAGTCAACAGACTGTCCTCTGCGCGCAGTTTGCGCGAGTCCCGGGGGCCCGGCCTTTCGCCGCTCTTCCCGGACTCCACCTCACAGCCCCGTCTCCCTCTGCCTGAGCCTGGGTCCCCAGGGATTGGCCCAGAACTGGGGTTCGGAGCAGTCCGGACTGAGGCTCAGCGCCGCCGGAGGCCTTGTTTCTTCCGGCTAGGGCAACCCAGCATCAGAGTCAACATTCAGTCCTCTGCGCGCATTGCGCGCGACACCCGGGGCCCTGCTTTTCGCCGTTTTTCCGCCTCACGGCCCCGTCTCCTCCCACTGGAGCCTGGGTCCCCAGGGTCTGGCCCATAACTGGGGCTCAGCGCTGCCGGTTCGGGGGGGCTCAGCGCTGCTGGTTCAGGGGTTCAGCCCAGGCTGGGGGTTTTATTTCCTTCCTGCTAGGGAAGGAAAAGCAGCTCCCCACCCTCTCCTCCTCTCTGGCTGCGACCTCTCTGTGCGCGCGTGCGGGCGGGCGCGCAGCATGTCTCCGTACCTTAGTTTTTTCAGCTCCTCTGATTTTCCTTCTGGTTTTCTCTTTCCTTCTTGTTGTAGAATTTTCAGTCAGTCGACTACCTGTAGCTCTGGGCAATGTCCACTCTACATTTTAGTTGTATTCCATTGAAATTGTTGTGTGCTGCTGCGGCTAGATGTCTACCCGAGCAGCCATCTTGGATCCTCCTCTGTTCTTGTACTTTCAAAGCTTTTTTTTTTTTTCAAATATCTCATGGTCCTCTTATTCCATGCACACATATTTAATACCAGTGTACCTTCCTATCAAATTAAACCTTTTATCATTAGGAAGTGACTTTCTTTAACTCCAATAACACTTTTTGTTATAAACTATACTTTGCATGTTTATTGCTTTGGTTAGAATTTGCCTGGCAGATCTTTTGCATGCTTCTGCTTTCAACTTCTCTGTTTTAGATGTGTCTCTGGGGCATACGGTTGGACTTTATTCTTTATTCTGTCTGAAAGCTCCTTCCCTTTAACAAGGTCAATTAGCCTTTCGCATTTAATATAAGCAGCAACATATTTGGATTATGTACTAACCTTTTGGTTTTCTTATCTACCAGCTTTATTTCTTTTTCTCTCCTTTCCTTCCTGCCTTAAATTAACATTCTTTTGCTTCATTTTTTTCCCTTACTAAGTTTGGAAGTTATAAACTTGCTTCTAAGAGATTAACCTACAGGTTACAGCGATGGTGGGGAACCACTGCCTGAGGCCGCTGTTTCAGATCTAAGAAAGGCATATGTTCTAGGTCCTTTTTGGTTCATGTCTAACTGTGTTTTATTGTGGTCCTTTGTAGAATTAGTTGGGGGCTGATTGTGAACGTTTGCTGATAAACCCGCAAGTGTCTGTAGTCTCGGTCTGTCTGTCCTGTTAACCCCCGTCCCGGGCTGTGGATTCTGCTTCTCTGGGGTCTCCCTTTCCGTGGAGCTGGTTTTCCTTGTGAGTCTGAGGACTCGGCTGGGCTCAGCTTTGACTCACGGCACTGCTTCTCTCCACTGTCACCTCGCAAAGACTGAAGGAGCTTCATCGGAGCCTGGGAGCACCTGGCCCACGGGGCGGGGCTGCTCGGGGGCTGCTGGAAGGGTGGTCCCAGCAAAGGGCCACTCCCGCTGAGACTCAGAGCAGAGTCACTTGCCCTAAACCACACGCCTGTGAACAACGGGGCCCGTCTCTGGCCAAAGCCACACGGCTCCCACTAATCAGCACCTGCCCCAGGCACCTGTCCCAACAAGTCCGTTCCCCATTCTTCCTTTTCTTTTCTTTTTTCTTTTTTTTTTTTTCTTTGTTTACTGATTTTCTTTAGAGAGAGAGGAAGGATACGGAATAGAGAGGTAGGAACATCAATGAAGAGAGAGAAACATTGGTGAGCTGCCTCCTGCACGCCCCACAAAGGGGACTGAGCCCTGACGGGGATTCTATCCCTGACCCACGGGCTCATAGGTCGATGCTCAACCACTGAGCCACACCGGCCGAGCCCATTCCCCATAATTAGTCAACTCAGAATGTCTCGTATATATTTTTTTTACTCAAAAAAAAGAAGTTGACAATAACCTGCAAACCGTAGGAAGCGGCGTAGCTCTCCCTCTCCCCACCCTTCCCCCGCCCCGTCTTCTCCTTCCCTTACTCCCGGATGGACATCCCCAGAGCGGCAGGAGCCCGGGTGCGGCGGGGAGAGCTAGGGGGGCGGGGGCCGCGGGGTGGGCCCGCCCAGCGCCGTCTCGCAGACCCAGCGGTAGGGCCTCCTGCAGACGTCGTCGTTCCAGCGGCCGTCGTCGGTGAGGTGGGCGCAGTCCTCGCCGCCCCCCAGCCCGTGGCCGGTCCAGTCGTCCGGCTGGTCTGGCCTCCAGTTCCTAAGGAGACCGGCCAGATGGGTCCCGGGAGGCCAGGCCTCAGCCAGGCCAGGGCCCTCCTGCCCTGGGGCCCGCCGCGGCCAAGGGCGGGGAGGGGCGCGGGAGCCGGCCCGGCGCACACACTCACTTGAAGCCCTTCTCGTAGTCCGTCCCGTCCACCCATCTCCAGGTCCCGTCCTGGTCGGTGAGGCCCATCCAGGTGTTCACAGGGCCCATGTGGTGCTGGACAAACCTCTGGGGAGAGAGGAGGATGGTGACCCCTCCAGAGGACAGCCAGGCTCCCCGCGAGCCCCGGGAGCCCTCACCTGCTCCTGCCAGGAGCCCACCACCACCAGGTGCCCGTCCTCCAGCTGGCAGTACTTCTCAGCCTCCGGCCAGGGCTTGGCCGTGCGCGAGAACCAATAGCAGTTGCCTTCGTGCTCCACCCAGTTCACAGGGCAGCAGTTCTGGGAGCCTGGAGGGGGCAGGGAGGGGAGGGGGCGGCTGAGCTGCTGCCCAGGGGGAGGGAAGCAGGATGAGAGTGGGGGCCGCGCCCCCTGCCTCCTCACCGTTGCCCTGGAGGATGGCCAGCTGGCAGCTCAGGCTCCGTATGTCAGACACGAAGGTCTTCACGTGGAACAGCAAGCTGGCGTGATCTGGGGGGACAGAGGGCGGGGGGGGGGGGATGAGGAGGGGAAGAGGTCAGTGTGAACACGGGGTGGGGGGTGGCGGCTGGGAAGGGCAGTCAAGGTGTCCCTGCCACAAGACCCCGTGGTTTGATGGAGAGAAAACGTTTGTCAATAAAACATTTGAGAATTGCAGGGCGGGGGGGAAGCGGGGGGGGGGGGCGGGGGGGGGGGAATTTGTTGTCAAGCCTCCTTGGTTTGGCCCAGCCGGTGTGGCTCAGTGGCTGAACGCTGACCTAGGAGCCAAGAGGTCACAGTTTGATTCCCCAGTCGGTAGGAGGTGGCTAAAGCCAGTCAATCAATAGTTCTCATCTTTGATGTTTCCATCTCTCTCCCTCTCCCTTCCTCTCTGAAATCAATAAAAATACATGTGAAGGAGAAGAGGAAGAAGAAGGAGGAGGAGGAGAAGGAGAAGAAGAAGAAGAAGAAGAAGAAGAAGAAGAAGAAGAAGAAGAAGAAGAAGAAGAAGAAGAAGAAGAAGCAGCTGCAGGAGAAGGAGAAGGAGAAGGAGAAGGAGAAGGAGAAGGAGAAGGAGAAGGAGAAGGAGAAGGAGAAGTAGAAGGAGAAGGAGAAGGAGAAGGAGAAGGAGAAGGAGAAGGAGAAGGAGAAGGAGAAGGAGAAGGAGAAGGAGAAGGAGAAGAAGAAGAAGAAGAAGAAGAAGAAGAAGAAGAAGAAGAAGAAGAATCCCTGAGAGACCCAGGTGGGCGCACACCCTGTGTAACACACGTAGGCACGGCGCCCGGGCTCCCTCTCTGACCTTGGCTCAGGTCCTGCTGCTGTTTCTCCAGCTGGGACTCCAAGGACTTCATCTTCCTGCCCACTCCGCCTCCTGGGGAGAAGCATGCTCAGTGTCCCCGCATCTTCAGCCCCCACAGCCCCCCTCAGTCCCCGCAGCCCCCCCAGCCCCCCTCAGTCCCCGCAGCCCCCCCAGCCCCCTCAGTCCCCGCAGCCCCCCCAGCCCCCTCAGTCCCCGCAGCCCCCACAGCCCCCCTCAGTCCCCACAGCCCCCTGCAGTCCCCGCAGCCCCCTGCAGTCCCCGCAGCCCCCCCGCCCCTCAGTCCCCACAGCCCCCGCCCCACAGCCCCCCTCAGTCCCCGCAGCCCCCCCTCAGTCCCCACAGCCCCCCCTCAGTCCCCACAGCCCCCCTCAGTCCCCACAGCCCCCGCCCCACAGCCCCCCTCAGTCCCCGCAGCCCCCCTCAGCCCCCGCAGCCCCCGCAGCCCCCCCCCTCACCGTGGACCAGCAGGTCCTTGACCTCGGCCTCGGTGCTCGCGGTGAAGTTGCTGAACGTCTCTCTCAGGGCCTGCAGCTCCTCCTTCAGCGTGGAGTCTGGCAGGAGGTGTGGGTTGGACAAGAGGGGGCTGTGGGCTGTGTCCACTGTCATGGCCACCAGCACTCCCCCCACCACTGCTCCCTGCCCTGCCCACCCCGGGCACCCACTCTGGGATCCGATCACACAGACGACCAGCAGCAGCAGGAGGCTGAGGCCCAGGGCCAGCAGCAGGAGGCAGGGTCCGGAGCAGAGCCGCTGCAGGAGCGGGCGGCGCGGAGGCGGCCCTGCAACAGGAGGGGTCTCAGGGCCGAGGCCGAGGCTGGGCAGCCTGGTCCTGGGGGTCCGGCTGAGGCTCCTCTTGTGGACTCGGAGGAATCGCAGGGGTTCAGAAGCATGAGCACGTCCCAGCCAGAGTGGCGGGGTTGGCTGGAGCAGCCTCCCATACCCCACAGGGTCAGAGTGCAATTCTCAGTCAGGGCACATAGCCAGGTTGCGATCTCCATCCTCAGGGGGGTGTGCAGGAGGCAGCCGATCAGTGATTCTTTCATCAATGAGTTCCTCATCGTTAATATTTCTATCTCCCTCTCCCTTCCTATCTGAAATCAATAGAAATATTTTAATAAATAATAAATAGAAGCATGTTCTCAGGTGAGGATTTAAAAGAAGAAGAAGAAATACGGGCAGTGGGTGATGGAGGGCAGAGGCATCTGGAGGTGGGGAAGGGAAGGGGGTTGCAGATGGAAGCAAAGCTTTGACCTGCCCGAGCCCGACCTGGCCCTGGGCTTTGGCTGACGCCTAGTGGCCTGACTGTGTCAGTGCAGCTGATGAAACTTCAGAGCCTTGAGGATGGAGTTTGTGAGCTGCAGACCAGCTGGGGCCTCAGGGTTCCTCCCTGAAGGCGGGGCAGGAGACAGGGGTTTCTTCCTCCCTCCCGGAGCCCCACTGCCCTGGCTGGGGCGGGCGGAGAAGGTGGGGTAGCCAGACTTAAGTCCCTCCAGTTGCTCCCCCCAGGCAGCCCTGTTCCAGAGCTGGAGGGTGGGGCCTCCCCTCCATTCTCGTGTCCCCTTTCCCCATCAGAGCTCACTGCCATCCCACCCCCAGGTACTGGATCCTCACTCAGCCCCAACAGCATTCCTGCCCACGTGAGAAAAAATTGGGGTCTTTTGATTATTGTTGATGGTGATGATTTTTAGATAGATAGAGGGGGGGGAAAGATCAATGTGACAGAGGAACAGCAATCAGTTGCCTCCTATATGTACCCCGACTGGGGATCGAACCTGCACCCTAGCTATGCACCCTGATGGGAATTGAACCTGTGACTATGGTGCTCCAACTGAGCCACACGGCCTGTTTTTCGATGTAGGAGGGCCTTATCCTCCCTCAGATCAGAGATCACTCAGCCTCTTCACAGAAATCTTATCCTTTGACCAAACTGATCACACACACACACACACACACACACACACACACACACACACAGCTCGCTGGTGTTGAAAGCAGGAAGGAGGAGGGGCCTAACTCCTTTCATTACCCCCCAAACTCTTGGGCCCACCCCCTCCCAGGGCCCTGAGAAGTGGGTGGCAGGGCAAGGGTCAAGGGTACGAATCCCCAAATCAGGGCCTCCAGCCCCACACCCTCCGCCTCCCCTGCGCCTCAGGCGCTCGCTATGTCTGTGCCGGGGCAGCCAGAGGCAGAGGCAGGGGCACAGAAAGAAGCCGGAGCCACCCAATGCTCGCCCTTCAGAAATGGCGGCGACCCTCACCTCGTCTGACCTGATGGTCATTCTCGTCCAGATGCTGAAGATCTTGATACTCTCTTGTCATGGTGGGGCTGGCTGGACCCCGGACCCGGTCAAGGCTGAAGTTGGGTTGAGATTGGGACTGAACAGAGCTGGGGGACGGGGTCCTTTCCCTTTCTGAGGGACCTGTGGCTACGGGCAGCCCTCTCTTCTTCCCCTCATTCCATCCCAGGCCTGTCCCCCAAAACCCATCCCCTGGAGTTTTCCCACCCAGCCCCTCGCCCCGACAGCTGGTCCCATACCCCCCTCCCCTCACTCACCCCCAGGCAGTGCTCCAGCCTTTCTTCCCCTTTTACTTGCTGCCGGTCTCGGTCTCGAGGGTGAGTCCTGGATCCCTCAATGCTGTGCAGATCCCGGGCCAGGACGGAGGCTGAGGCCTGGAGAGCGGGGTGTGTGGGCAGCCCCGGGCCGCGGGAGCGGGTCCATGCAAGGCTGAGCCCCGTGCTTACGCGCGTCTGTGTGTGTGTCCCTGGTGTACCGAGCCTGGCACACACACACACAGCACTCACCCCACACCCCACATACACTCACACACACACACATCACTCACCCCACAACTCACACATACACTCACACACACACACACCACTCACACTCACATGCACAACACACACATCACTCACCCCACATCCCACACATACACTCACACACAGACACACCACTCACCCCACACCCCACATACACTCACACACAGACACACCACTCACCCCACACCCCACATACACACACACACACACACACACACCCCACACCCCACACATACACTCGAAAACACACACACACATACATCACTTACCCCACACCCCACATACACTCACACACACACACACACACACACACATACCCCACACCCCACACATACACTCAAAAACACACACACACACATACATCACTCACCCCACACCCCACATACACTCACACACACACACAACACTCACCCTACACCCCACACATACACTCAAAAACACACACACACACACATCACTCACCCCACACATACGCTCACACACACATACATCACTCACCCCACACCTCACACACACACTCACACACACACACACTCACACACAGACACACCACTCACCCCACCTCCCACACACACACTCACACACACACATCACTCACCCCACCTCCCACACATACACTCACACACACACATCACTCACCCCACACCTCACACATACACTCACACACACACACACCACTCACACTCACATGCACAACACACACATCACTCACCCCACATCCCACACATACACTCACACACACACACACACCACTCACCCCACACCCCACACATACGCTCACACACACACCACTCACACTCACATGCACAACACACACATCACTCAACCCACACCCTACACTCACACATACACATCACTCACCCCACACTCCACACATACACTCACACACGCACACACACATCACTCACCCCACACCCCACACATACGCTCACACACTCGCACATGCCACACACCAAGGGGGTCTCAGACCTGCTCTCAGCTCCAGCTGCTGCTTCTCCAGCTCGGCTTCCAGAGATGTCACTTTGTCACTCGTGCTGCCGCCTGAGGAAGAGGAAAGCCCGCGGGTCCCCTCCGTCCGCCTCCTCAGCACCCTCCCCCTCACCCACTGGAGCACCGGCACCCTCACTCACCTGGCCACAGGCTCTGCCCCAGCTCCCAACTCCGCCCTCTCCCCGCCACCGGCTTCTGGGG